TCCCTGGTTTAGTCCCTTCCAGGTGATGAAATTACATTTGCCAATGTGGGCTGATACTTTCTCTACTACTTAAAATGTTAGAAAGTTGCCTAAGCGTATTGTGAAGTTAAGTGATCTATCCAGCATCATAGAACTAGTGCGTGTTACAGGTAGGACTTGAGCCCAGGTCTTCCTGACTTCAAAGTCCACTCTATGTTCATGTGCCACAATGCATGGGTGGTATTGGTCCCAAATCCTTCTGCTAGGTCTGTAGTCTCATTCTTATCATTCTTATCATTCATTCATTCATTCATTTATTTATTTATTTGCTTGTTTGTTTGTTTAAAAATTATTTATTTTTTAGAAAGTAGTTATTTGTTTTTAGTTTTCCCCATTCACTTTTATAAGATTTTTGAGTTCCAAATTTTTCCCCCTCCCTCCCTCCCCCTCTCCCCAAGATGGCATGCAATCTGATAAAGACTATACATATACAATCATTTTTAAACATATTTCCACGTCTAGTCTCATTCTTAATGAGGACCTGCTTTGTCCTTCTATTTTTTTTTAAGGAACCCTTTAAGGAACCCAAATTTCAACCCTCAGCTTACTTCTCATAGAATTTTACATTCAGAAGTAGGCTTGAATTAAATTGTAAGCTGTGAAAGCTTACTATTGGCATGTCTCCAGCCATCCAGATAGAAGTACCTCAAGTGCCCAGTCCAGGGTCATCATCTTTCTTGGGATGTTTATTAGATATTTATTAAATAGAAGATGCCTTTGTGCTCTGTGTGAAAGCATATGTAGTCAGATCATTCTGCAACTTGGCATATCAGACAGGGTTTTGATCTTAGAATCAAAAATACCTAGGTTTGAAGACTATCTCCAGCATTTACTGGCTATGTGACCCTGGGTAAGTCATTTAACTTCTTTCATCCTTCTTTTCCCAATCTGTAAAATGGGGATAACAATAGCACTCTCCTCACTGAGTTCTTATGAAGATCAAATGAGATGATATAAGCAATTTTGCCTTATTGTTATCAATAAAAATTATTATTTAGAAAGTTTAAAAATTATGTATTCATCAGTGAGGGGGTCTATAAATGCTCTTCCTTTGGCTCATCTGTACATATTTCAAACTGTCCTGTATTGGTTATTCTGTGAATTTATAGTTCTTTTGAATTCCATTGAGAGACAGGAATGATACAAAGTCAAATAATATATTAGAAATGAGGCTTAAGTCAGTGAGTGAAGTGTAATGGGACATAACTTTTCACCTTATCTCTATATTTTCATGTATGGAGATTACAGGACACAGGGGAAATTGTGGTATCCAAAGACATTTTTATAAACAGAAACAGGTTCAAAATGAGTGCCAAGATCAGCCTTGAAGGGAACAGAAGTTACAAAAAGGACAATTTTTGGTCTTAGAGAAATCAAATGTGGATAAAAAGACAAGATGTTTGACCTAATTTAACTTGGTCATGGAGGGTGGACAAGTAGGAGGTGTTTACAGGCAATAGGTACATTAATGGAAGATAAATATAAAATGGAAGCAAAGAGAATTCTCCATGCTGTTTATTTATTTATTTATTTTAAATAAGAAAATGTTATTGATGTAGTTTTTTTTAAGATTGCTTAAATTTCAAATTAGGGGGCAGGTAGGTGGCATAGTGGATAGAGTACCGGGCCGGGAATCAGGAAAACCTGAGTTCAAATCTGACCCCAGAAACTTACTAGCTATGTGACTCTGGTCATCCTAAAAAATAAACCATATCAATAAAATTTTCTTATTTTAAAAAATAAATTGAAAAAAAAACCCAACAAGAAATGACGTTGAGAAGAACAAAGATAGGAAGGGCAGCCAGACTGGATTAACTGCATGCAGACGAGATTGGAGCTAGACATGATACAGTTGTCAGGGCATCAGTGAATCAAAAGTTATCTGAAAGTGTTTGACGCAATTGATGTGTGTGGGAAAACCCCAAAACCTAAAACCGTTTGAATACAAAAAAAGAGGAGACCAAAAGAACATCAATGACTATCTAGTGCATACTTTTATATCTACAAATTGAGAATCATAAGCACACAGAAAGAACATGGTTGTAGTAGGTGCTTAATTAAATGTTTATAGAACTGAATCAGTTGACAGAGACATCTTAGCAGCTCTGGATCATCAGAAGATCTTAGATTTACAGCTGGAGTAGTCTTTCTTTATTATCTAGTCTAACCTTCTCATTTTATAGATGATATCTAGAAAGAAGGGATTAGCCCAAAGTCAAGCAGGCAGAAAGAAAGAAAATGTAGGAGACAGCTTTTGAACACAGAACTTTCCATTCCAAATATCATGGGTGATTACCACTCTGTTCTGGGAAAATTCACTCAGATTAACCATACAAGATGGCTCGCAGGACTCCCTGAGGGGAAGGACAGCTAATCTGTTCACTCTTTGCGTCCATCCCTAATTTGTAAAAACTGCCTTCTGTTCAAAGGGGATTTCAGTTCAACTTATTGAACTGTATGCCTGACCTTGACTTCTTTGAATGAAACCATTCAATGGTTTCAATGAATCATTTACATGAATTTGGGGAGCTTCTACTATATATCCAATTCTTTTGACTTTTGTTTGTAACAGAATTTAATATATGAAAGGGGATTCGTGCCTCAAGAGCTATCTCATTTTCATTCCAGACAAAGGGAAAGATTCTGTAGCAGATTCTATAGCCTACAGACCAATATCTTCCAGCTTGAGCCAGAAATTAAAAATAAGAGGAAATTACTGAGATGAGCAAATATTATTTAAGGCAACTGACCAGGCAGAATTCAGACTATTTGGTAATTTACTAAAACAAATTCTTCCTCTAGAAGTTGAAATGATGTTTTAAGTATTTCTGTACTAATGGAAAGAGTTACAGTTTCAATATTTTTTCTTCATGCTAGATCAAATCATTGATTTTAGCTTAAAATAAACTTTAGTGGGATGTTTGGTGTGTGGGTAAATGGAAATAACTTGGGCATGAAGAGCTTTTATCTGGTTATCTCCCACTTAAATACTGAACAGGGGTGTCTAATGGCTTAGAATAAGACCCCCAAATTTGGAATCTGTCCCTAGCCAGATTAGTACATTCATTTTGGTCCCTTAATCTGGGTGAGTACAAAATAACTATCCGTCTATAATGCAAAACTAATTAAGAGAAATAGTGATTTTTGCAAATAAATTTGAGGGGAAAAATATTAGAAAGCTTTGAAAGATTACTATTGTATTTAAAATTTTAGTTTTATATTTCTATCCCTGAATTCCAACTCCCAACACCACTCTCTCACCTTCCTACTCATACCATTTTAAAGAAAAAAAAGTACGTTTTTTCCCCCCACAAAGTTTCTTCCTGACAGGTGGGCTAGTAGCAAAAGTAGCTACTCTGAAGTTTAGTGAGTGGAAGAAGTCCAAATGATTTTTGACACAAACTAGTTTGAAAGATCTCATTTGCTTAAATTAAGATGAGAGTGCTTAATTGCTCTCCCTAGCTTTCCACTTGCTTTTTATACTTCAGGAACGTGTTTATATGTGTGTAGTGGAAGGGAAGGAAGAGAAGTCTATTCAGGTAGTTTGGTTTCCTTGGTGAGGTGTAAAGAAAACTGGATTTGTAGTCAGGAGAGAAATGCGGGTTTGAAATACAGCACTAACATTTACTAGCTGTGGGAATATGGGAAAATCACTTAACTTTTTTTGAGTTTTAGTTCTATCATCTGTAAAATGGAGCTAAAAACACCTGTTATACTCATGTTATAGGCTCTAATAAGGCAATGAATGTAAATTGCTTTCTAAACCTCATAGCTTATATATGTCAGTTATTTTTAATCATACATACATAATTTGCCTGAATAATTTCTAATAATTTCCCCTTGACTCTGAAAAGTTTTTAGCTGTTAAAGATTTAATAAAAGTTGAGATGGGGGAAGAAAGTTATTATATTATCTTTTACAGCATCTGTGATCAGAAAACCTGGATTCAAATCCTACTTTTTCTGCTTCTCAGCAATGTGACATTGGGCTAGCCACTTAAAATCTCTAGAATTTGACTTCATCATCTACAAAATGAGCATTGTAATTCCTGCAGAACCTATGTACTGGGTTGTTGTGAGGATGAAATGAAATAATGCATATAAGTTAATTTTAAAATTGTAAAATGTTTGAATTCTTTCTTAGTATACTTTGTCAACACCTTTAATACCCTAAGTGGGTATTGAAACGAAACTATAAAATGGAGTGGCCATTGAAATGCATCAAAAGTCAGAAGGGTTATCATGGGATAAAAGGATCATTGGGTCTAATTCCTTCATTTTACACTGAGGAAACTGAGTGGCAGAGATACAAAGAAATCTGTCTAGGGTGCCCCAGTTAGTCCAGACCAGAGGCAGGCCTTGAATCTAGGTCTTCGGGACAATATCCATTATAAAATGTTGCTTTGTTGGACCAGCAGGGCTAGATATAGTTCTGGGTAGTTAAAATAATGTTAGGGATAAAGTAGGTGCTCAATCAATCAACATGCATTTTTTAAGTGTCTACCACATGTAAGGTACTGTTACAAGCTTTGGATATACAAAGAAAGGCAAAAGATAGTTTTTCCTCTCAAGAAGCTCATGTCTAATGGAGGAGGCCACATACAAACAACTTTGGACAAATAAGATATATGCAGGATAATGGGAAATAATTAATAAATTTCAGGTGCTGGCTTTGAGGGGGATCAGGAAAGGCAGAAGGTAGAAATTTAGCTGGAACCTGAAGGAAGCCAGGGAAGTCAGGAGGCAGAGATGAAGAAGGAAAGAATTCTACACCTTACGAGACAGGCAGCTGGTGAAAATGCGCAGTTGGGTGGTTGAGTGATTCATTCATTTTTTGAAGCTCAGTGTGGATGTAAATCATGCTCAATAACTATTATCTCCCTCTCTTGATGTGTATGTGTGTGTGTGTGTGTGTGTGTGTGTGTGTGTGTGTGTGCAAATATTGTTTGCTACCTTCTGTAGGCCTTGCAATCTAGTGGATGATCATCTTTGCCATCACGTGCTACCAGTTTATTCCAGTGTTCATTATTTAATTAAATTGTACTAAATTGGGGAAAAAATGGAGTTTTGGTGCTTCCTGGCTTTATCAGCTCTTTTTATAGAGTCCACAGCAGCAATTCAAGGTAAGATTCTGTCTTTCTGTTGATTTTAAAAAACATTTTAATTTAAAAAAATCCTCTTGTCTGACTTTAAGCAAAATTAATTTCAGATATTTTTACTTTATATTAGAGTATTTGCTGGAACTAAGCTGTCAAGGCAAAAGCCCTTTTGTGTTGTGCTGGTTTTCTTTCAGTCCTGTTGCTTTGGGACAAGAGATTCATTTGACTTTGGACTTTAGTCCTAACTGCCATTTGTGACTTTGGGCAAGTTGATCAAGTCAGTCATTCAACCTTTCTGTCCCTCAGTTTTCCCATCTGTAATAATGAGAGAGCAGATCTCTTCAGCTCTAAAATCATTTGAGTTTTTGACAAATGGACCTGCTTTTACATAGACAAGCAACTTTTCCTTTGAAGTATTGCAGTGAATCCAGTTCCAAATTATAGCACCATAGCTCTAGAGCTGGTAGGGATCTCTGAGGCCCTCTAGACCAATACTCATATTTCCAGATGAGGAAAGGGGAAAAAAGCAAACATTTATTAAAGTGCCTACTCTGTGCCCATTATTTTTTATATTTTCCTGTGATGTAAAATCAAAGTAGTACTTTATTAAATGAGTTATTTTACACAATGTGAACAGCAATATAATTACAATTGTAAAAAAATAATTATAATAAGGATGCACTGATTTTCAGGATTTCCAAATCAGGGCCCAACTGTACATTTACACAGAATTGTCTTTGTGTGACGCCCAAAAGGGCACATAGTAAAAATTGTTGATCAACAATTTGTTAGAAGAGCAGCTGCAGGTTTGTTACCTAAGGTCTGAGATAGTAGAAGAGTCAATGGGTGCCATGAATTCACCTGTAAACAACTTTATGCCTGAACGTTAGCAGATTCTGGAGCAAGCAGAATCTTGAAATGTTTGCTCTCAAAGTGCTATCTGAAGGTCTTGGGGTCCGGTATTTGTGTCCTACAGACAGTGCAGGTATAATATATCAAGGCAGCCTTAGCAGTAGTCTTCTGATCATGTCCTTATTTCTTTTTCTGTCCAGCCTTTTTTTCGGCATTTTTCTTCTGAGACTGAATCTTCTGCTGCCCATGAAGTCATATCTGGACTGAGACAGTCAGGCATCCGAGAAGCCGGGTGGAGGGCGGGGGGCAAGAGTGTTGGAGGGCGGGGGAGGGACGGAGGATGGACTGAGTGTGAGAGAGAGTTCTTCCCCCACCGCCTCCTCCACCTCTTCCCCGCGGCTGCTCTCTCTCTGCGCCTTTTTAAAGCACTTCACAAATATTATGTCATTCGATATTCACCAACCCTTTGAAGTAGGTGCTATTAGTATCCCCCTCTTAACAGTTCAGGGAACTGAGGCAGATGGAAGTTAAATGATTTGTCCAGGGTCATACAGCTAGTGAATGTCTTAATCCAGATTTGAATTTAGGTCTTGGGACTACAGGTCCAGCTCACCGTCCTCTCTGCCACCTACTTCCTTCTGAGGCCCAGGGCACTTAAGGAAGTTGTCCAAAGCCACACAGATAGTTAGCATCAGAGGCTGAATCATAGGCTCTGACTTCAGAGCCTATGATTATTATTCCTTATACTGTAACAGGGGGTCCACAGCACCCAGCCAAATGATTATTCACCTGGTGTTCTTTAGCATCCTTTCACTGCTGGATCATAAGTTAGAATTTTCATTTCTGATACAACTGTGAATGCATATTTCACTAGGAAATATTTTTCAAAGCTATACATGGCTGGGATAACTAGATGGCACAGTGGATAGAGTGCTGGGCCTGGAGTCAGGAAGACTTCTCTCCCTAGGTTCAAATTCAGCTTCAAACGATTAATAATGGGGGGTGACCCTGGGCAAATCACTTACCCCCATTTGCCCCAGTTTTCTCATCTTTAAAATGAGCTGGAGAAGGAAATGGCAAACCACTCCGGTATCATTGCTGAGAAAATCCAAAGTGGGGTCATGAAGAGTCAGACATGACTGAAATTATTCAAAAGCAACAACAAAAACACACACAGCGGAGTATCATGTATGTAGTATCATGTATAGATTATCGTGGAGTATGACTTTTGTTTAATTTGTCTTCTTCATTTGCAGCTCGACACTATAATGCAATGGAAAATGAAGCTTTCATTGTGGTGTGTCCTGGAAGAAAAACTGGATTTGAAGTTTACTGGACTTACTTTAAATCTAATAAAAACATTACTACCAGTGAAAGAAATCGGATATATTCCTCAGGGGCCAAACTCAAATTTCTACCAACTTCAATGAATGACTCTGGAATATATACTTGCATTAAAAAAAGGTATGTAGACCTAAGGAGAAAATAATGAAAGAAAAAAATCGTCAGGCAGCCAACCTATGAATGTCAGTCATTTTGATTTGTGTCTTAGTCCTGCCTTGAAGCCAGAAAAATGTGGGTTCAAATCCCACATCTGATACATACTATGTGACTCTGGGCAAATCAAGTAATCTCTGTGCCTGAGTCAACTCCCTAACTATAAGTTGCAGAGAAGGTACCAACTGTCATTGGCACAGGGACTTTCCTCATCTTGTAAGATGCATTTTCCTGAGTTCAAATCTGGCCTCAGACACTATCTGTGTGACCCTGGGCAGGTCACTTTACCCTGCTTGCATAAGTTCCCTCATCTATAAAAATGAACAGGAGAAGGAAATGGCAAACCACTGCAGTATCTTTGCCAAGAAAACCTCAAATGAGGTCATAGAGAATCCAACAGGACTGAAAAATGACTCAATAGTAACAATTTGGTATACTAGTGAAATTCCAGCAATCTCTAGCCATGGCATTCTCCCATTCTTCTTTTAGCTATTTCTTTAAGTAGTTCTTTCTTTTCTGTCTCCCTTAAACCATCTTATGAACCTAAAATTATTGTAATATTGCTAGTAGCTGTGACAGGGAATGGATTTTTACCTGCATCTGAATGAAGCATGTGAAGCTCAGTAGAAAAAAGACATGGCTTGGGGCAGCTAGGTGGTGCAGTGGATAGAGCATGGCCTTGAAGTCAGGAGGACCTGAGTTCAAATTCTGCCTCAGACCAAACACTTGACACTTACTAGCTGTGTGACCCTGGGCAAGTCACTTAACCCCAATTGCCTAAAAGCAAAAAAAAAAAAAGACATGGCTTTACCAAGGGCTGAGGGGCCTTAGAGAAATAGCTTAGCTTTGAATTTGGGGAATAAATAAGAATGAAAAAATAAGAAAGCTCTGAGAGACAAAAACGTAAAAAACCGTAAACTTGAAGCAGGTAAAACAGGGAGTGTCTGGAATGATCAAATTAAATTTTGAAACTGTTCTGTGAGATAACACAAGAAAGATTCTATTACATTATATATTTTTAAATTTAGATTCTTACATTTGCATTATCAAAGAAATATAAGCATATTCACCTTGTACAGAAAAGTGGATAGGATGTTATCTTTAGGTTATAAAAGGATTATTTATTCTCTAAAGATTTAGAAGAATTTTCTTTGCTAATCTACTAGAGCCCACTGACCAACATGTGGCAGTTCATTAAAGATCTCAAATTTTGAGATTTGTCTATTTAAAATTTTCAGTTTCCTGTTTTATTAGTCTGGTAACATATTCTTTTATTTCTTTTATTTTAAATTTTTAAAGTTTATTTTATTTTTAATTTATAGAATAAAACAAACACTTCCATAACAGTATGATTTTAAAAAGATGACTGCACAGGAACCTGCAAGTCTATTACATACAACTTGCTCTTCCTTTTAAATATATAATAAAGTTATCATGTAAAATTCTTTTTTTCCCTTTTTTTCTCTTCTTCTCCCCACCCTAGAGATGGCTATCATTAGATACAAATATGCATATGTTGTATGCATATATGTCTGTGTGTATGTAAATTCATTCTATACATACTTTTATTTATCAGTTCTAACTCTGGATGTATATTTATTTTATTTTTTTTTAATTATACATTTTATCAATGTAAAGTTGGGCTGGTAATTTCTGATCATTTTCTTAATTTATTTTACACTTGTTATAAGCTCTGATTTCAATTTTGGTTATTTTATTTTTCTCTTTCCCTTTATAAAAATGAAATCTTCCAATTGTTTGTTTCATTGATATTTTTTAAAAGCTCCCACCCAAACTTCCCTTAGTTATATTGGTTTACTTATCAATTCAATTGCTGTTATATTTAATACCTGCTCTGATCTTGATCTCCCCCCCTTTTCTGCTTTTATTTTGGTATTTTGTTCCATTTTCTAATTTAAATAGATGGGACACAATGAGGAATTTAGTGCTACAAATTTACCTCTAACTAGGTCCTTATCTCTGCTCTGTTGGTTTATTGCAAACACTTCCTAATTGCTTTCCAGGCTTCCAATCTTTCCTCATTTCTATTCATCCTCAACACAACTGCCACATTGATATTCCTGAAGCCCAGGCCTGACCTTATCAATCCTCTGATCATGAAGCATTCTTTAGCAGCTGCTTATTGCCTCCACCGATATGTTTCTATTCATTAATCAGCCAGAGGACACAGTTGGCTTTTAGCCATGGCATTTACTAGTATAACATAGTAAGTCTAACAATAGAATGCTTACCCCAACAAACAAAATCCCCATTCTCTTTCAAGTATATACATCATCAGTGGAGAGATTGAGCACATCTAGAAAGACCCACACATATAGAAGATGTGTGGAAGGGCAATTTTCATCTCTAGTACCTCAGGGCCAATGATTTCTTCTCATGGTGTTCTCAAACCGTTCCTCAATGGACACAGTATCATTCTTGAGTCAGTCAATTGTTTGGGTTTCTGGAGTTCATTCCTCAACTGTACATAACATCATTAATGGACTTATTTGGTGTATTTCCTACTAAGACACAACATCTGTGCTATGTTGGGCATATGACTCCACCACTCAGTCATGGTCTCCACTGTCTTGGGATCCTGGCCTCTGGTACTGCTATGTGAACTTATATGGCATGGATGTGACTTTAGTCAAGATAGATTATGAAAGAAAGACAAGCCAGTAAGCTGCTAGAATTAATGCAAAAGTAATTGAATCGTGGAAAGAGCCAGAACTTTAACCTAGAAGAATCAGCAGGAAGTTTCCCTAGTCTGGTTCCCTCAGATTCTGAGCCCTGCTTTTCATCCCTTGAAAAGCAGGATCTTGCCCTGGCAACAGATTCTCTTTCCTTGCCAATACTTGAGCCAGAATATTCTTCTTTTTTAAATTCGGACATCTTACTGTGGGCACAAGGCAGAGAAAGAGATGTACAGAGGCAAATTATACAAAGGGCCAAGTCTATTCTTTGTCTATATAGAGCTGGTTCCTAATCATTGTATATGCAAAGTCCCATACCTTTGACAAGCTACAAAAGGGCTACTTAGGGCTTGATGCCCCTAATATGATTGGAACATTCAATTTTATTAGAAGTCCCCTAATCATTCCCTCTCCATATAATTTTTAACCAATGCTTTGTCCAACAGAGCCTTGATAAATTTTATTGATTTTATTGATAAATTTATTGATTTTTTTGTCACATTCTGATTACTAGCTTTACTCTGCATGTACCATTGAAGATTTCATGTCTAAATTTGCCTATAACTTAGAACGCGATTAATTTTGTGCTTAATTTCCATGTATTTGTGCAAAAAAAAATATATATGCTCTGCTTTTCCATTGCATTATCTTAATATATTTATTAAATCTAGTTTCTTTAAAACTCTGTTTAAAGCTTTATCATGTATTCCAAATGTATGTTTTGGTAGGTTTACCATATTCTGAAATCTCCTACCATTACTAATTTTCACTTTTTATTTTTCAGGAGACAATAAACTTTTTCTTTATATGTTTAAATGTTATTCAAAATTAATGTGCTTTCTAAGTATCTTTGAGTATGATATGATTTATTTTTTAAAAAATTGTCAGCTATCTTCACTAAATTTGCATATTTTCTTGAGCAGGGTGTTATGTGATAAATAAGATTAGTTTGAATTTGTGTATATCCTGACATCTTTTGGCATGAGATATGTTTCTTATAAGGAACATATTTGTTGGATTTTATACATTCATTAACTTGTGACTTCCATAACGGAGTTTAATCCTTACATAAATTTAGAGTTGTTTTACCTTCTACCTTTCTTTGTCAAATTGTAATCCATTTATTTTTCAAAAGGGAACACAGACTTAGTCTTGCTCTTTTGATTCCTTGTCTATAGCACTAAATATCTTGCATCATTTCTGATGTTATTGATCATACTCTTTCACTATTCACCTTTTCCAATATCTTTCTCCTGCTTCTCTTTTCCTACAATATATTTTTTGAATTGCATCAATTTATTCATTGTCTCTTAGGTGAATTTTCATTTTCTTGTAAGGATTTTTATCAATTTTATTTCTTTTCAGAGTTTTAATTTACTTATTTTTCAGGAGGAAATTACAGGGCAGCAACTTTCTTCTTCATTTTCCTAAAAGTCTCATTCTATATCAGCCTTCATAAAAATAACAAATAATGACTAGGGTAGGCTTATTTCTTTTCAGACTGGTCAGTGGCAACCTTGGTTTTAAAATTTTTTATTTTGATTCCTTTTATTTTAACAGCTCCAATCTCTCTTATAGTATATATGTGAATATTACAATATATCCGCAAACTTGTGTTATCCCCAACGACCTGTTGTATACAGTAATAAGTGGAACATCTAAAAAGTCAATGCTTCATTGTCCTAGAATTGAATATTATGGTGAAATAGCACATGTGGACTGGTTTAAGGTAAGTGAGAGAGCAATGGTATTGATTGATGCTAGATAATTAACTTAGAGAATTAAGGGTAGCTAGAAATTGAATACAATTTTGTTTTTCAGAATTGTAAAGCTCTCAAAGGACAACATTACTTTGCAAAGAAAGATTACCTGATAATTCAAAATCCAACAGCTGCTGATACAGGCGACTATACCTGTAAATTCATTTACAGTGAAAATGGACCCAATTTCACTGTTACCGCATCTAGGTCATTTATATTTCAAGGTAAATTGCTATATGACAGTGAAGTCTTTGATAAAAACAAAGCATAGTTCTTCTTTTCAAAAAATGTACTTTTTTTTAGTCATTTCCCATAATGATAATTATTAAAGATGGGTGTCCCCAAATCACAATTTTTCCTTTTCCCATGCCATTTCATTTTACAAAGATAAGTGCCTTTGTTAACAGAACATTTCCCTTATATAGAAGTTGCTTTAGAACCATATTATAATAGTGGACAATGAGAGCACTGACTTTCCATATTGTCTGTTTCCCGTTACCTATGCATCACCGAACATCAGGGACATAGATTAATAGCATTCTAGACTTAGAGCTGGAAGGATCCTTAAAGGTGGTTGAGCTCCCTTATCTAGTTGGGCACCTCATTTTGCATATTGGGAAACTGAGGCTAATGAAGACTAAATGGCTTGCCCAAGGTCACACACAGGGATTACATAATGGGACCAGTACTTGAAATTAGGTCTTTTGTCCCCAAATCCATCACAGTACAGTTAGACCATAGTGTAGAAGGTATGAAGGGTAATAGTATAAAATCAGGATAAAAAGATGGATTAGATCCAGATCGTAGAGGGCCGGGAATGCCAGGCTAAGGAGTTTATATTTTATGTCCTAGTTTGTCTTTCAAACAATGGGAAACTACTAAAGGGGTTTAGTAGTCATGGTCATAATTAGGCATTAAGAGGATTCCCTGGCAGCTGAGTGAAGGATGATTTAGAGAGAAAAGAGGAGAAATTAATTAAGAGAATAATACAAATGGTGGGGTGGTGCTTAAGAATTCAACCATGGTAGTAGCTGCAGGAATAGAAGAGAAGGGGTGAATGAAAAAGTTATTGTGGTGGTATGTCATCATGACTTGACAATAGGGTAGGTGGGAGGAAAAGGAAATCATAACAGTCAAGAATAGGTCTGAGATTTTGAATTTGTGAATGATGGATAATTTAGTAGAGGAGTAGATCTAATGAGGAAGATAGTGAATTCAGTTTTGAATTCATTAATATTCTGGATATCCAGAGGACAACTGTAAATGTTAAACTAGAGATCAGAGAGTTGGTCAGAGCTGGAGAAAGAGACTTGCATCTTATCTGATAGTGGGGAAAACTGTAGCCTCAGAAACAGGAAGTTTCAAAGGACAAAAGTTTACAGACCAAGGACAAGAACAAAGTCTAATGAGATCCTCATCTCAGACACTTCCTACCTTGTGACTCTGGGCAGGTCACTAAAATCTGTTTGCCTCAGTTTCCTCACCTGTAAAACAAACTATAAAAGGAAATGGCAAGCCACTCCAGTATCTTTAGGAGATAGAAGAAAGAAGAGCTAGCAATGAAGATTTAGAAGGAGGGATCAGAAGAGAGGAAAACTAGTCCAGTGCTGTATCCTAGAATCCAAAGAAGGGAGGCTAAGAATGGGTTAGGGAGATGAACAGTATCAAAATATTTTATTAAGCTGAAAAATGAGTACTAATGAAAAGTCTTTCCTTGACTTTTGTGGTAAGGAAATCATTAGTGACTTAAAAAAAAGAAGTTTCACTGTAGTGGTAAGAATTCGGTTGAAGGAGGCTGAGGCCTGAGTGGGTGTGGTATAGGCATTGAAATTGAGTGTTGAGAATTCTTTCCAGAAGTTTAGCAGTGAAAGGTCTGAGAGATATGAGGATTGCTTGAAAGGACATCAGGGTTAAGGAGAGGTTATCTTTGGAGATGCTGTACAATTAGGTGATAGAGTGCCAGCCCCAGAGCCAGGAGGACCAGCGTTCAAATCTAGCCTCAGACACTTAATAGCTGTGTGACCTTGGGCAAGTCTCTTAATCCTATTTGCCTCATTCCTCATCTGTAAAATGAGGTAGAAAAGACATGGAAAACCACTTCAGTATCTTTACAAGAAAACCCTCAATTGGGATCACGCAGAGTCAGATATGACTAAAACCACTCAGCAACAGTTAACACAATGAATTTTTTTTAAATTCACTTGTAATTCTTAAATATATTCCCCTATAGAATTTTTCAAGGAGAATGAGGAAGAGATCACTCTAGGAAACAAATGACAGTGTATCATGAGTTCTGAGAAGACAAGGTTCACTAATATATGTGGTCTATAAGATTAAATCATGTTACCTGATATATTTGCCACTTCATTAAATGAAGGCAACAGGGTATAGTGGATGGAGAACTAGCCTTAGAAAGAGGACAGGGGAAGTAACAAGCACTTATTAAGTGCCTATTATAGGCAAGGCACTGTACCAAGTGCTTTACACAACTGTGGGAAGTAGGTGCTATTATTATCCCCATTTTACAGCTGAGGAAACTGAGAGGCAGGCAGAGGTTAACTAACTTGCCCAGGGTCGCTCGGTTAGTGTCTGAGGCCAGATTGGAACTCAAGTCTTCTTAGCTCCCGGTCCAGTGCTCCATACATTATACCACCTAGCTAGCTGCCTTGGTATTGTAAAGACTTGCTTTCAAGTTCCATCTTGTGAAATATATTGTCAGTGTGACCTTGAGCAATTTAATTAATATTTCAGAGTTCCAAATATCTCCTCCAAAACTCTAAGGTGCTGAGAAGTTGTCAATGTGCATCAGTAGATCATAGAATTTGAAGATGAAAAGAACCTTAGAAATTATCTAATTTAACACTCCCATTTTGCAGATGAGGAAAATGAATCCTACATAGGTGGAATACCTTGGCTATAGTCAAACTGTTTAAACTGGGAGAGCTGGGGAATTCCATGCTAGAAATTCCCTATAGGGATAAAATTGTGGACCAAACCAAACAAACAAATAAAATCTTAAAATAAAAACAAACATTGGAAACTTCTGCTTATAATTTCTTTAAACCAGTCTATGAAATCTCCATTATTGTCTTTATAAGTACTCTTTCTAGATTCAGGCTTCCCAGGATTGACAACTAAATTTGTGTAATTTGAAAGGTACTGAAAACTGAAATTTCTTATAATGGTAGGAATGCCTTTTCCCCTTCTAGGAATCTAGTACATTGGTGGAATACTGTGAACAGTTCAGAAGACAGACTGATTCCTGATTGTGATTGGGCTTCTTCCATCAGGTTTCCCTAGTTTTCTCTGATTCCATCTAAGAACATCCCATAAATAAATGATAACTCAGAATCTGAACTTCAAGTTCTTAACTCAATTAATATTCAATACTCTCTTTTCCTTTGCTTTTAAGGTGAAAGTAATTACTCCATGCGTCCAGAAATTATTTACCCTGTGAACAATCACCTCATAGAAGTAGAGCTTGGTAAGAATTTCTTCAAATACTATCATGGTGTACTGGAAGGTTGGGGATTGTATTTTATAACTTTTAGGTTACTGGTCAGGAGCTTCACAATTGCTTTAGTAGGGATTAGGTAATAATAACATTTCACGTTTTGGAGCTCTGAACAATTTCAGAGCATTTCCCTGATGTCACTTGGTCTAGCATGAACATAATAAGTCTTAGTCCATGTGACTCCAAATGAATGAATGAATGAATGAATGAATGAATGAATGAATGGAAGAGGAAAAAAACCCCACATTTATGTGCAAAGCACTGTGCTATGTAGCCAGGGACTACAAATAGAAAAGTAAGACGACCCCTGTTCTCAAGCAGCTAACATTCTAATGGGACATGAAAGGAATCAAATGGGTGCCAGAAAAGAAAATCTGACAGTAGCTGCAGAAGATTCCTATCATATTCTTCTGCTCCTTGCTAATAGTTTGGTTTTCAAAAGAATCTGTATTTGTAGGTGGGTGGGTGGAGTTTCTAAGTACTTGTAGACAAGTCATCTTTTGACATGCTACATTGTCCAATTGGAGGTTGCAGATGGAATTGTGGGCAGTGCCAGGGTAAGTAATGCAAGGTAAAGGGAATAGGGAATGGGAAAGGGAATTTCTGCAGATGACATGACTTTTAAAAGATATTTATAAGTTTGAAATGAGGTAAATTCAGTGCCAGTGGTGCCATAAAGAGGACTACACTGGGAATTCCTAGTGGAAGACCTGAATTCAAATCTGGCTTCAGATACTTACTAGTGTGACCTTAGACAAATCATTTAACTCTGATTGCCTCAGTTTCCTTATCTATAAAATGAGCTGGAGAAGGAAATGGCAAATCACTGCAGTATCTTTGCCAAGAAAACCTCAAATTGGGTCATGGAGAGTTGGACACAACTGAAACAATTCAAAGACACAGAAAGGGTACAGAAACACTATAACCTCCTTATTCTTGGAAGTTGTGCCCTTCATGATGAGTTTTAAATACAACAAAACCTTTTTTCAGAATGTTAAACCCATTCTTAGCTTAAAGGCTAATTGCCAACCCTGCTGTAGTCTGTCACTTCTTAAACTGTGGGTCACAGCCCCATATGGAATCAAGTAACTGAATGTGGAGGTCACAAAACTTTGGCAACTGTAAAAGGTTTCTGAATGAGTAATGACCAAAAATTAACTCAAAATCAAACACATAATGAATGGGAGGTGTTTCTGGCAGCACTTGCACCATGCAACTTCACTTAAGCCTTGGCTCTGAACACATGACATGCATACTTTGCACTACTCGTGCCATCATGCCACACAGTCCCAATGAAGTCTGTATTCAAACAATATCAGTTCTTTTTCTGAAGGCAGATAGTATGCTTCATCATTAGTCCTTTGAAATTGTCTTGGATCATCGTATCGTTGAGAATAGCTAAGTTATTCACAGTTCTTCATTGTACAATATTGCTGTTACTGTGTACAACGACCTCTGGTTCTGTTCACTTCACTTTGCATCAGTTCATGTAAGTCTTTCCAGGTTTTTCTGAAATCACCCTGCTTATCATTTTTTTTAAGGCAATTGGGGTTAAGTGACTTGCCTGGGGTCACACAGCTAGTAAATGTCAAGTGTTTGATCTGAGGCCGGATTTGAACTCAGCTCCTCCTGACTTCAGGGCCGGTGCTCTATCCACTGCACCACCTAGCTGCCCCCTTATCATTTCTTATAGCACAATAATATTCCATCACAATCATATACCATAACTTTGTTAGCCATTCCCCAATTAATGGGCACCCCTTCAATTTCCAATTCTTAGCCACCACGAAAAGAGCTGCTACAAATATTTTTGTACAAATGGTTGACCACACATATTTGTTAACTTGAGTTTTGCTTTTCTCCCCACCTCTGTGAGGAAGGAGAAAGTGGGAGAGAGAGAAAAATAAAAGTTTGTTCACCTAAAAAATAAGTTAAAATGTAAACAAAGAGAGAGAGAGAAAATATATCAATGATTTTTTTTTTCATTTCTGTCTAGGAACCAATGTGAATATGTCATGTAAAGCTTGCTTGGGAAAAGGCTCTCAGATGATAGATCAAGTTGGATGGTGTATTAAAGAGAAGAACAGTATTAACTGCATCAAAAATTCTCGATTTCATGAGGAAAACAAAGAAATAAAGTAATATTACTTGGCCTTAAATATTTTCTTCCTTTCATAAATTTTACAACCTGCAGAATAACTACTAAAGGTAACAATTTGGTTTCTTAGGTCTATCACCAACTTATACTGTAGAAACGTCATTTTAAGAACAGCTAACCTGAGGAAAGAAGACCTGTCCTTGGAATTTTATTGTTGGGCCTTGAATGAACATGGAGCAAAAGAACACAGAGTAAGAATCAGAATAAAAAAGACAAGTAAGTCGATGTGTCTGTGGAAGTTTAGATGATATTTTTGGATGTTTTGTCCCATATTTCTTTTTCTTCTGTTGTCTAACCCTGGGCAACAACATTGGTTTAATTCCCTCCTTGGGGCAAACTGTGGGCATTTTCTTGACTCCAGGGTGGATGGAATGCAACTAATGCCAGGAAGCTTTGAGAACATAGCTTTCCCGTGGCCCAGCTTACTGAACAATATTTCATGGGTCTTTCTCCTCTCTCTCAAAATTTAGTTCTTGTACTGTCTTTTCCTTTTCCTGGACTCCCATGCTATTATTGGCCCTCTAATTTGTTATATATAGCAGGTAACTTATTTGTAATATTTATATATGTTATTATTATAATTTAGCCAACACATGAACTTCCTCAACAAATGTATGTGTGCGAGCACACACACATACACACTCACACACACACACACACACACACACACACTTTTGGTTGTTTCTGAAGTTAACAAAGCTGCTATGCCTATTTTTACTAAGTTTGGGAAGTAATGTGGACCACTGGAAGGAATGCTGCTTGTGGAGTTAGTAAACCTAGGTTCAAATCCTCACATCTGACACTTAATAGCTAGGTGACTTTGGATACTTAACCTCTTTGGGCCTCAGTTTTTTCAGTTATAAAGTTGAGGGGGTAAGGTAGGAATGGTGTCTAGTAAGATGCCTAGGTAGCTAGATGGTTTAATGGATAGAGTGCAAGATCTAGAGTCAGGAAGACTCATCTTCATGAGTTCCAATTTGGCCTCAGACAACTACCAGCTGTGTGACCCTGGGCAAGTCACTTCACCCTGTTTGCCTCAGTTTCCTCATATGAAAAATGAGCTAGAGTATCTCTGCCAAGGAAACCCCCAGTGGGGTCACAAAGAGTTGGTCATGACTGAAAAATGACTGAACTGAAAATAAGATGACTTCTGAGGTCTGCTCTGGATCTATGTTCTGTTCTATTACTATATACGTATTACTATATGAAATATATATATATATATGTATTACTATATGATTTCAATGAAAGCACTTTATGATCATAGAGGTGAGAGATCCATATTTTTGTTCAGCTTCAGAAGATAATAGGTTCAATACTCATCTTTAATGGAAAAATCCCTGGTGCAAGAGTCAGAAGGCCTGGGTTTGAATCCCAACTCAATTGCTAGCTTTCTAAGTGTGGGCAAAATGACTATTTTGTCACTGTAAGCCTGTCTACTTATCTATAAAATGGGGGTGGGAGATGTTTAAATTAAGTGACCTAGAAGGTTCTTAATAACTCTAAATTAATGATCCTATTAAATGTAACTCATTTAAGATATAGTCATGAATAACAGTTCCTTGGAGAGTGGACACAATAAATGTTTATTGAATTAAACTGATCAAATCACTATATTCTGATATTTAGCTTTATTATATCTTATATATGCTGAGCATATAGATCACATACTTTAACGGGGGACAAGGGATGGAGGGATCGGTCTAGACCTGAAATTTCTTTGGCATAGGGAACTCTTAGTAAGGAAATTCTCTCCACCAATGTAAATCAACACTTGCAATATAGCTTAAAATATCAGAGAGTTTCCTGATGCACTGGGAAATTAAATTATTTGTCTAGGATTACATAGTTAGTATGTGCCAGAAACTAGACTTGAACCCAGGTCTTTCTGAGTCCTAGGGTAGCTCTCTCTCCATTACCCTAAACTCCGTATTTTTTAATTCTTTGCATACGTTTATATTATTGGGGCAGCTAGGTGGCACAGCTGATAGAGCTCCGGCCTTGGAGTCAAGAGGACCTGAGTTCAAATCTGACCTCGGACACTTGATACTTCCTAGCTGGGTGTCCCTGGGCAAGTCATTTAACCCCAATTGCTTCACCGAAAAGCAAAAAATAATGATGTTACACTTCTGTTACCATATACAAGTACTGTGATATTTTCATACTTCTTTCTATTATTATATATAGCTTAATCATGACAGCAATTTTCTATTTATTTTATTAAGTGGAATTAGTATTTTTATGCAAATTAGAAATGATAAATTATTAATAGCCTCCTTGGGATTTTGCTCCACATTATTAGGTTTTAGCATAGTAATATAGCATGAATTATATTTGAAAATATGAAACCAAGTGTTTTTCAGCACAGTTCTTCCTGAGTCTGGTGTGCCTTTACTTATTTTGGGGGGACTATGAACCTACGATTTCATTGATATAGGACAGTAGGGTCGGACTAAAATAGAAAAAGGAGGCAGGAAATGATTACAAAGAAACAAAATATATATTCCTAGAGGCTGCATATTAAGTTAGAAAACTAATCTTCTATTATTTATTTTGTTAAGCTACATTTATTTTGAAAAATATAAATTATGTTCCATGTTATTTTCATATATTTTGTTAAATATTTCCTAATTATATTTTAATCTGATTGGGGGGGGATACAACGCGGCTTGTGATTCATGTGATCCTCTAAAGTAGGGAACTCCCACCTTTTATGAATGTATACAACATTTTCTTTGCAACATATAATTTTAGAAAAGTGCCTAAGGTACTGAGATGATAAACGACTTGTCTAGAGTCACACAAACAGTATACGAGAGGTAATTTTGCTCAGTGGATAGAGAGTCGGTCTCTGAAGAGTGACCCTGCTATTTCTGTGGTGGTATTTTTTTTTCAAATAGGAAATCTTCTTTCACACATAACCTGAGCACAAGACAAATTCACCAGCACTTACTAAGTCATCTTCCATTATGAAGGACTGACAAGATTTCTTAGTTTGATCACTTGATTTGAATCTGGAGGTAGCCTGTTTATTAACTGACTCTGAGAATTGTTATTATGTAGTTCACCCTTATTCCATTTGATAGCTTCATGGTTATGGGGGAGCAGTTATGAACTTTGGAAGCCAAATATTTAAGATAGATTTAAACAACCACGTGTGTATACAGGTTATTCAAATGTTTTTCTGTCAGGAGGCCGGACATTGACCTTCAGATGTTCTCCTGCACTGTTTGACAAGGGCTTTCTAGTTATCTGTGCGTTAAAATTACTCTCAGTTGGTCTTTGTTCATTTAAATGTTCTGCCTGGTCTGTATCATATTTTTCTTTGCAAACAAGTGACACATTCCGCTTTGGTAGCTGTGTGTATCAAACAAAAACCTAATGACTTGAAGTTTTATTCCCTGTTGGAATACTTTACCTTTAATCGTAGAATAAAATAAATTGCAAAAATCATCGTTCCTTTTTTTTAAAAGCAGAAATTACAAAATGCATTGTCTCTTATTACTTCAACTGTTTAACATTTGTATGTGTAGTTTTATATTGCTTATACACAGCTTTTTTGTACTTTAATAACATTTACATATAAGCATTTACATAATGCTTTAATGTTTGTGAAGTACTTTACAAATATTATCTCATTCTAACCTGACAACAACCTTGGAGGTAGATGCTATTATTATCTCCTTCTTACAAGAGAGAGATTCAGTGGTTTGCCCAGGGGCCATGGAGCTAGTAGTGTGTAAGGCCAAATTTATACAGTCTTCCTGACTTCAAGACCAGTGATCTATCCACTGTTCCTCTTCTATTTAGTGTATATTCTTACACAATTTTCCATCCTTCTGTCTAGTCTAGAGAGTTGGCAAATTTTGGAAAACAATGTGACTTTCCTCCATCTGGGTGGAGATGGGGGAAATTACAGTTTCAGGGGCTGAATGTTGTACATACTGTTGTTGTTTTGGTATGTATTGTTCAACTTTATTATATTAAGGAAGTTCCATGGTGTAATGTGTATATTTGAAGGTGCACATAACAAAAAAAAAAAAAAAGACTGTGTCGGGGACAGCTAGGTGGTGCACAGCCAGATAGAGTACCAGTCCTGGATTCAGGAGGACCTGAGTTCAAATCCGACCTCAGACACATGATATGTCCTAGCTGTCTGACTCTGGGCAAGTCACTTAGGTACAATCACCTCACCAAAAAGAAAAAGACTGTGAAATAAAAAACAAAGGAGTAACTTTTTTTTTTAAAAGAGAGATTCTGTAGTCTCATAATTTCCTTGTTGCTATTTTGGGGGCCTAGTTTATTTAAAATATACTTCACTTAAATTTTATTAATGCTCATATTATTTGTCACTCAAAGAAATATCAGAAAGATAAAAGTAAATCATTTAAAAAAATCATTTAAACATGCTAATCATTTTTAAAAAACAAACAGTATGGTTACATTCTAACCTTTTTTTAAGCAGCCTAATTGATTGCCTGGTTATATTGGCTTTGGGACAGGGAAGAGGTAAAACAGGGAGGGAGGTAGGGAGGGAGGGAGTATTACCTGCTGCTGCCTTTTTTACTGGGGAGGAAAACAGAGATATGATGATTCAGGAGGCAGTACCATCAGTGGGAAGGGTGCCACTTGGAATCAGAGCTCTGAGATTTAAATTTTATCTCTAATGAGCACCAGCTGGATGACGATGAGAAAGCCACTTCTCGCCTCGGTCTTAATTTCTTCACTTGCAAAATGGGAGATTTTAATATTTTTGATTGAATAGGCCTAGTGTGGAGAAAGCCATTTATAAACCTGAAAACCCCACGTAAATGTGAATTATCATTAGTATTCTATTCTTTTGGTAGGGAAGTGAGTGGAGCTGTCATGAGAGTGACACAGATCACTGCTGCCTATTCTATTCTGTTTTCTTCAAGAGCGTGTCTTCCCATAAAAAAAAACTTGCCTTTTGCATAACAACAACCACCCCAGCAAATATATCATGAGTCGATATTCTTAGGAACGAGCTTCTTAGCCTCTGTTGCCTTCTTATTAACCTAATCATCTAATCATTTCTGTGATAGCAAGGTCTATTCCCCAGGGTAATGAGTTTATTCTCTGTGACAAGTGTATGTGTGTGTGTATACATACATACACATAAATACATACAAATGGAATGAGCAAAATCCAGAGTAGTTTTCAGGGACTAAAAGTTGCAGTAAATCAGGAAAGATTTCTTTTAAAGGATGGTGGTTGAGCTCCAACCTTGAAGGAAGAGAGACAATCTATGAGGCAAAGATAGAGGGGAAATGCAAAGACTTGAGAGGTTTGGAAAGAGAACCAAATGCAGAAGAAAATAACCTCAGTTGTTAACTACCATTTGTTAAGATGCTTAATTAGGAAGAAGTGTGAGATAAACTTGGTATGTCTCATCAGGACCATTAAGCAGTATTTGAAAATACACCTTTTGTTTTTTGATTGAGAAGTCATCTTGAATAGTGCCATAATAATAAACTAATTGTTCTTTGGCCAATGCTTTCTTTCTTCATGTTATTCCCTTGCTCAAAAGCAGCCAAGCAACCAAAACCAACCAACCAACCAACCAAACAAACAAACAAAAACAAACAAACAAGCAAACCAAACTTCAATGACCACTTCTAGCCTAGAGCATGAAATCTGATCCCTAGTCTGGCATTCCTGATCCTTCATAATCTGACCATATTCTACTTGTTCAAACTTATTTCCCCAGAACAAAACCCTTACTGTAGCCAAGCTAAATTACTCCTTATCCCCCAAACACGTCTCATACATTTCTGTTTCTACGTTTACCTACTCTGTTGATGCAATGTCCTTCATTCTACCACTCTAAAGTCTAGCCATTCCTTACAGCCCACCTCAAATCTTACGTTAAGAGGCAATATATTGTCTTGCAAAAAGTACTGTGCAAGAGCCAGCAAGACATGGGTTTGTATCTTGAAGGAGTCAGTAACATCTGGGTTTGAATCCTACATCTAACATTTACTAGCTGTGTGATCTTGGGCAAGTGTCTTTAGTTTTCTGGCCCTGTTTCTTCAACTATAAAATGGGGAAAATAACAATTGTAGTAACTAATGTGTGGGATGCCACTCAAATTAAAGAACACACAGAGGTATCCAAGGAGAAACAGAAAGTTAATTTTTTATTATTATTATTTCAAACCTGGAGATTTGGGTGTCCCTCTACCAGAATACTCTGATGAAAGGAGACACAGACAGAAGCAAAGGACCTGATTAAATACCCTAATGGGCAAATTCCCCCCTCCCACCAACTGTCCACTATTTGGCTCACAGTCTCAATGTACCATTGAAACTGAAAACAAAACAATGAACACAATATATTTCTTAGTTTGCTGAAGTAATACCAAAGAAGCAATTAAAGATGTGCAGTCACTGTGCTGTGTAGCCAGGTCACCATAACCGAAATATACGGGGGTGGAGGGGGCTTCTTCAGGAGTTTCAGGCTTGGCAAACTTTAACTACTTAACAATGGCATGGGGGGGTTGGTACTTGGGGTTGAATTCCCGTAAATCAGGTGATTTCTAGTAAACCGAAACAGGCCTGTCAGGCTGCTATGCCTGCCTTAAGTCTAATACAATTCATATTTATTCTTCTAAAAAGTTTTCATGGGACTGCTCATCCCACTCAGCCTTATCCCAAACCTGAATTACACTGAGGAGTCTTCACCGGGACATCCCATTCACTACCTTATAGGGTTATTGTGAGGATTACATGTTTTAATGTGTTGAAAGAGCTTTGCAGACCTTAATGTGCTGTAAAATGTTGCTATCATTATATTAAGCCTTTCCTGAACACTCTGGACTTCCCTAATTCACTTTCTAGTCTTCTTCCTCTACCTATCTTCTCTCTTTTGTGTAGTTCAGTTGTTTCAGTCATGTCTGACTCTTTATAACCCCATTTGGGGTTTTTTGTTTTGTTTTGGGGTTTTTTTTGGCAAAGATGCTGGCGTGCTTTGCCATTTCCTTCTCCAGCTCAGGAAATGAGGCAAACAGGATTGAGTGATTTGACCAGGGTCACCTAGTCAGTAAATGTCTGAGGCTAGATTTGAACCTCAGGATGATGAATGTTCCTAACTCCAGGCCCAGCACTCTATACACTTCACCACATAGGTGACCATCTTGTCTCTTACCCCACTGAAAAGCCTCCCACCCTGTGGTCCTGCTCTCTTGATTGATGATTTCCTCCTTTGGACCACCATCTTATGAAGGAGCCCAGCCATGCGGCCATGTTTTCATCTGGACATAACTGGATTTCTTCTTCATTTCACACCTCCTAACTTGCTGCCAATTAGGTACCATTTTCCTTTCTCCCCCTTTGCCTTCCTTCTCTATAGGTTTTGTCTTCTTCCATTAGGATATATTACTTGAGTAGGGGCCATTTTGCTTGGTTATATTTATATCCCCATCTCTTCATACAGTGTGTAACACTTAATAAATAATTAATTACTATCTACCTATCTGAAGAGGTCTAGAGGTTTTGGGGTGCTGCTGGAACCCCAAGATCATGGTACCAGGCCCTGCCTGAATGAATTCAACTCAAATCTTCTTCAGCCAGAGGAAAAGTTTATTAGTGATAAAACACTTAGGCCAGGTGACACCCTTAAGGATGGGCGGGCATGAGAAAGTCTTAACCTTTTGAGCGTGAGATTCTCAGCCCCCAATGAGGGCCAGGGCAGATCTTATATACTTTGGGTGACCAGGGAAGGGTCTGGGAAAATGGTCTGGGAAAAGGGTCTGGGTGAGAATTCCCAGAGATTGGAATGTCTAAGAGATTGAATAGACAATGGGAATAGATAACAAAGGAACTGAAAGGTATCTGAATGAGATTAAAAGGTAGGCTAAGGCTTTCAAAAGGGAGTTGAGGGGCTGGGGCCTGTAGACAAAGGGGAGCCAGATTCCTTTTGGGTCAAGGGGTGAAGACCTCGGCTTGGGCCACACCCCATCATATCTATCCGTACATTGTCTATCTGTCTATCTATCTGTCTATCTATCTATCTATCTATCTATCTATCTATCTATCTATCTATCTATCTATTCTAGACCAGAATAACCTCTCTTACATTTGAATGTCTCTAATTTGGAGACTGCTGCCATAGTCTATGTATGAGGTGATATAAGGGCCCAGGCTAAAATAGAGAGTGGGTCTGAAAAGGGGCAGAGAGAAACATTATAAAGAGAAAATAAACAGAATTATGGGACAATGAGAGAATCCAAAGAGTCGAAGATTTATTTATATTTGGCTTCTATTACATACTTACTTTTGTTTAATTTATGACTTTTTCATAGGAAGCTATTTTATTTTATCATCTGGATTCAAAATGTCTCTACATTAAAAACTGTCTTTACATTTCTTTGCAGCTTCCATTCTTTCCAGTACCTAATACAAGGTCTTATACATGGTACTAAATATGTTTTTATTGATTGACACTAATATAAGCCATGAAAATTCTGAATAGATAACAAATATGTTATTGCAAGTGAAAACTAATTTTTGGTTGAAACATTTTTTAATGTAATGTTATTCATCCTACCTTGCTTTAGTTGTAACAACATTTTTTTTTCTTCCTTCTTTATCTCTTCTCTCCCCACTTTTTTCAAAATAGCTGGTCAACTAAGCACCTACTACATACTTGCAGGATTTAGTACATTGTTAATCCTAATTATTATACTAATAGTAATATTAAAAATATTCTGGATTGATTTGATTCTGCTATGGCGAGAGGTAGCTAGACCTTATAAATCCAGGAATGGTGAGTATTAAGTTCAAAATTTCTTTTTTTTGGAAATTTTTCATAAAAGATACATATTATTTTCAGATTCTTCATCTATGGGTCCTTTATTAATTCAATTAAAATGTTGTTATGTGTTGTTAATATTTTAATCATGAATATACTGCCAGTGACTTATGCTGAGAGCTATACTCAGGCCAGTTTCCAAGCTGAGACTATTATCCAAACTTTAATATGTTTTGCAATTAGATTTTTTAAAAATTGCTACTGAGGCTCTCATTTGCAGAAACTGGCCCAATTTCAGAGTTGTTTAAGATAAATTGTGAAACATGAATGTTAGTACTTAACCTCCCAGGATTATTGTGAAGATAAAATGAGAAAATATTTGTAAAGTGCTTTACAAGCCTTGAAACCTATCTAAATGCTAGTTATTTTTATTAATATTAGCAAAACATTATGATATTAAAAACAAATACAGATTCTGTTTGAGTGCCCACTACCCAAATGTGAACAGAGGTCAGTGAACTAGCCAGTTTAATGTATCTGTTAATAGCAATTTCATGTATGTCCACACGTATGTGTATATATGCATACATACCCATCGGCAGTTAGAGAGTATAGAGGCTAGAGTTTTGGACTTGGAATCAGGAAGACCCAAGTTCAAATTCTTCTCTACAAATACTAGCTGTGTGACTTTGGACAAGTTTTCACTCTTGGTTTCCTCATCTGTAAAATGAAGACAGTAATAGCACTCACCTTACAAAATTGTTGTGAGAATCAAATTAAACAATATATAAAAAATGCTTTGAAAGTCTTCAAATATACAAATCCAAGCTATGATACTCATTTAGAAATTCATAGAATCTGAGCTGGGAAGGACCTAAGAGACAATTTAGTCCAACCTACACCTGAAAAAGAATACTCCCTATAACAAATGACCATTCAGCCTATGGTTATAGACCTTTAATGATGCAAAAGACAGTACTCCTTTTCTCAAAAAAGCAAACCACTCACCACCAGCAACAAACAAAGAAACACCTTCAAAACACCCTAGAGCCTCCAGGACACAATCCAACCCCTAGCCTAGCATTTCTGGTTTTTTGTAATACCAGGACAGCAGCAGTTGTTGGAAATTTTTTCCTTACATCAAGCTAAAATTTGTCTCTCAACAATTTCCTCATTGTTCCGCTTTCCTTACCAAGCAGAACAAATCATACCCTATTTCCATGTGATAGCATTTCAAGTACTTGCGCACAGGAATCCTATCTCCTTTCAGCCCATTTTTCTCTGAGCTAAACATACCCCAATTCCTACAACTGATCCTTGTAAGGTATGATTTCCAGCCCCCTATAGTGTTGCTGTGTAGCCTTTTCAATCATGTCTGACTCTTTGTGACCCCATTTGGAGTTTTCTTGGCAAAGATACTGGAGTGGTTTGCTGTTTCCTTCCCTGGCTCATTTTACAGTGAGGAACTGAGGTAGACAGGGTTAAATGACCTGCCCAGGGTCACATAGCTGGTAAGTGTCTGAGACCAGATTTTAACTCAGGAAGATGAGTTTCCCTGACTTCAGGCCTGTCACTCTATCCCCTGAGCCACTTAACAAATAAGGTTAATTCATTTAGGTTAGATGTATGTTAGATTCATCCGTATAATCTATTATTTAGCAAATAACTATTATGTTTTCAGTTTATTCCCCAACTGTTACAAGCCTCTTCCTCCTTCTTGCTGTTGTCTTTTTTTTTTCTATTAGGATTTTCATGACTATACCTATGAGAGGGAAAAATAAAGAAAATGAAAAGTGGAAATTTACATTAGCAAATTTAATTACTTTCTATGAACTCAGTTACAAAATTGAATGGTTTCATCTTATTGATCAAGAAGACTCCCCATAAAATTTATTTATCCATAATTTTCATTATTTCCTATTAACAAGAGTAATAATACTATATAGTTTCATACTTAATTAGTTGCTACTTTGTGGGGTTTTTTTGTGTCCTCAATTATATCATTATGAATATTAAATGTTTGTTGGTTTGATTGATGGATTAAAATCCTTTGAAGACAAAAGTCATATCTTTATCTCCTCTCTCTTTCTTTTTTGTATTCTCCATAGACCTAATAAAATGATGGGCATATGGTGGAGCTCACTGAACTAACAGATATATTTTAATACATCTGTTAATAACAACTTCTTATATGTATACACATAGGCAAGTAGTTGGTACAGAGGCTAAAGAGCTGAATTTTGAATCAAGAAGATCTGAATTCATGTCAAAGTCATTGACTGATAAATACCTGTGGACTGATTAGAAAATCCTGGTTAATAATCAGATGACTCAGACTGGCTTACCTCAAACAGACCACACTTTTGATTTTTTCTCTATCTACTGTATTTAGTTGGAGACAAAAAAATGAGAAATCTGTGGTTAACAGATTTTTAGCAGCAAATAGCTGTTATAATTAAATGCCTAACATTTTTGTAGGGTTGAAAACACCCATGTATAACCACAAAACAACACATACATATATGTATATTCGTGTACATACATACCCATACTCACCCATGCCCCCCCCTTCTCTCTGAGAGTCAAATAACCATTTAAACACATTAATAGAACTTTGATTTGCTTTTGTTTTCAGATGGAAAGTTATATGATGCTTATATCATCTATCCCAGAAACTACAAAAACAGGACTGAGAGCGTTAATTCCATGGAATATTTTGTTCACCAGATTCTGCCTGAAGTTCTTGAAAAGAAATGTGGATATAACTTATGTATCTATGGAAGAGACCTTCTGCCTGGAGAAGGTGAGACTTTTAATTACTTTGCAACAATTCACTTTCCTTATTAAAGGATGTCAAATATAAATGCTTATCTCATCTCATTCACTACTAATGGATATCTGAACAAGACAGACCAGTTCCTGAGGCTCAGAGCTTAGACCTATGCCATGATTTCTTCCGTACCTTCAAGCACAATTTCTTCTATACCTTGTTCTTCAAAGCTCAATCAGTCACCAAGTTTCAATGTAACTACATTGAAACTGTATCAGTGGTAAAAATTCTGGAAGTTAAGCCTCCCCCAAAACTTAAACTTTGACAGTGCTCAATTATGCACCTTTTTCCTTCTTTTCTGCTCCTTACTCTTTCTACCACAAATACTAGGAGAACACAGGAATTCCCTAGTGTTATCTTGAAGATCTGAAGTGGTACTTGGAAGTCGGATTGGGGAACACAAGTTTTTTTGGCAGGCTGGTGAGCTAGACTGCTACATCCCTTTTTCTGATAAGATTGCCAGAAATTATAATAAAGATGTCTCAAAAATCTTTAATGGAGTTTCAAGCTTTAATAACTGAAAACTGCACTCAGACTTTAGGTTCACTCCAAATGTAACACTTTTGTACTTAGACAATCTATGATTCATTGGTATAATTGTTTCTTGTTTGAATCAGCTGGTAAATCAACTGTTTGCTGGGTATTGTACTAGGTGTTAGAGATATGAAGACAAAAATGAAATAATCCTTACCCTCAATTCCAGGTCTTAGTAAACAGTTTGATGAGTTGTTGTGGCCATTCTTCTGGTGATGATTCTATCTAAATTGAATAGAGCTTGTCTTTGCATGACAGGCTTATAATCTATCATCATTTGGCACTTGTAGCCTTTTTTCATCTTGGAAGAACCTAAGGACAGCCAGCACTACACTAACAGCTTTTCAAGAGCCCAAGGTCATCTACTTATCATAAAAAGTTATCCAAGTAGGATTTTCTTTCTATTTGTCACTTTCCCAGGTTCACACAGCTAGCAAGTGTCTGAGGCCAAATTTGAACTCAGGGCCTCCTGACTCCAGGGCCAGTGCCCTATCCACCGTGCCACCTAGCTGACCCCCCAAGTAGGATTTTAGTGGGGGCAGTATGTGGATGTAACATGAGAGTAATTTTAAATATCTGAATAGAACCAAGAGAACATCATATACAATAATAGCAATATTGTTTTAACAATGGTTTTGTCATTTTGACTATTATAAATATACAAATTAAATACAAAGGACATGTAAAGAAAGATGCTTTCTGCATCCAGAGAAAGAACTGATAAATAGAAGTAGGTACAGAATAATTGTGTGTGTGTGTGTGTGTGTGTGTGTGTGTGTGTGTGTGTGTGTGTTTAATGGTAGCCATCTCTAGAACTGGAGGTGGGGTGGGTGGGAAGGGAAGAAAAGAAAGGTGAAAAAAAAATTTAAATAGTAACTTTGTTGTGTATTTGGAGGGAATAGCAAGTTGTACATGGTACATCTGTGATTTCACGCGCAATCATCTTTTTATTGTACTGTGTTATGGAAATGCTTGTTTTGTTTCATGAATTGAAAATAAAATACATTTTTTAAAAAATATCTTCAGTAATAGCTTCTGGAATATTATAAAAAAAATTAAATGCAGGACAATTTAAAATGTACTTTAAAATGTAGGTTCCTTATACCTTCCTGAAAAAAGTCTTTCTCTAATCTAAGCTATGTACAATTTCTAGTATATCCCAAAGTCACATGACTAGTACTCAGTCAATAAACATCTATTAAGTGCCTACTATGTGCCAGGCACTGTGCTAAGTGCTGAGGATACAAAAAAAAAGCAAAAGAAAGTCCCTGCCCTCAAGGAGCTCACAAGATAGTAAGTGATAGAAATGGGAATTAATTTTCTGAATCTAAGTCCGATATTCTTGGCATTATTCTTCAGAGTCATCTCTCCTGGATCAAGGCAGATCTTGTTCTAAATGTTCGTGTTCTAAATGTTCCCAGATGTGTCCTAGCTTCAAGCACAGCTCTCTATTTACTATACCATGAAGAAATATGGGAATTTTAAGATTATAGGTGGTTGTTTATAGAAATAGTTGACATATAATAGGAATCATAGCTTTTGAGCTAGAAGGAACCTTACAAAAGATCTAGAAAGGCAGTATGGTGTAGTTGCTAGAGCACTGGAGTCAGAAAAATCCCAATGGTACTGATATATCTCACATGAAGCCAATGCAGTCAGGTATATGAGTGCCCTGATTTAGGGGCAGAGGGAATAGGAAAGCAGAAAAGTTTGGGAGAAGGGCAATATTTTTCTCTATTCAATTGCATTCTTTACTCTTCAAGATTAATGAACTGAGCAAGTAGTTGTGAAGTCTCTGCCAAATCACAGTAAGAGAATTTCTAAAAGTCTGTAATATGCTCTGAGTAGCCATTGAGAGAAATTATTATTTCTTTTTTGTATTAATAACTAATTATTAAATCAGCACCAAAAGTTTTCCCCTTTTCTACTTCTTCATCCAGAAATCAACCAGTGTGGGAAATCTTAGGCAAAGACTTACCCAGGCTAAGATTTAATCAGATAATAAAAGAAATTTTAAGTTTAGGCTAATGGGTAGATTCCTACTCATTATGTTTACTCAGATAACTCTGGGGAAATATTGATTCTTCTTTTGTCAGACAGGTGATATGGAAATTGATGTCTCTTTGACCAAGACTTGGGTAATCCAAATCACTTACCCCAAGACCCTCATTAGAACGAGCCCACATCTTACTGTAATATTAATTTTCTCATTAATTATTAACCAATCACAGTTGATTGCAACCCTCAAGAACACCCACTCTTCCAAAGGCATATAAACTGTGAGCCTACCGCCATGAGGAGTCGTTGGCATTCAAGAGGGCCACTGACTTCTTTTTATTAACAAACATGCTAGCCTTATTAATAAAATGGTTAAGTTACCCAGAAATTATGTCTCTTGAACTTTTAAAATGCCACACCATCAAACTAGCAAAGGAAGCATAAAAAATATCATTTTTCTCCTTTATTAACAGATGCAGCCAGTGAAATGGTAAAATCCATACAGAAGAGCCGACGGCAAATTATTATATTGAATCCCCAGGTGGAGCATGGTGAGGAATTTGCCTATGAGCAAGAGATTGCTCTACACTGTGCTTTGATACAGAATGACTCCAAAGTAATCCTTATTGAAATGGAAACAACTGATGACACCAGAGAACTGCCAGATTCTCTCAAGCACATTATTAAAAAGCAAGGTACCATTGAGTGGAAGGGAGATCATGTCACCAAAAAACGATCATTTAACTCCAACTTTTGGAAGCGTGTACAGTACCTGATGCCAGCGAAAAGCAAGTCCTTAGATCCACTTCACAGCAGCATATGAAGACTTGGACATTATTGTTGGCTTTCCCAAGCTCCTACTGACAAAAAAAATGCTTGCTTTCATATCTAATATGTCTTTAGATTTTTTTTATTTTAAGGGTAAGTTGATATTTGACCTAGAGGATGGGGATAGAGAGAAGGGAGTAAGCAAAGACATAAAGACAGTAAATACTTTAAGAACTCTTTTGATAGCTCTCATTCCTCTGTCCTACTTTCTAGTCAGTGCAAATGGCTCAGAAAGTTTTCCACTTTTTTTCTGCTTCTTCACCACTTCCTTCTTCTTTTGTCATACCCCAAAACCCAAGTTGTGTGTATGAGGGAAACCTTCTCTCCCTCCCACTTTCAAGTCTTGTTTTAGCTCATATATCCTTAGTCACCACAATCCACATTCTGAAAAACTGGAGTAATATGTTAAGGGTTAGGTTTTCATCAGTGATCAAGGAGTACTTCCAGAATACTTTCATACAAAGAGGCCTTAATGAATATTTGGCCTTAACCTAAATGCCAAAATTTCAGTAAATATTTTATTTCCATGAAGAGTACATAAACTAAGAAACCAGCTCAAAGAAGTCTCATATTTGTTTTATTTTGTACTCTTCATATTGAATATATTATCCAAATATGGAATTCAGGTTTTTCACTTTTAATATCAAACCTCTTCTCATATTTTTCAATGAAAAAAAAAGCATCTATTCCTACCCCCACAGTCCCCAAGGCATTTTACTTTTCCCTATGACATTTGCATGCACAAATATTGTTATTTCCATTTTACTATTGGGAAAAATCCACATATAATCATAATAGCTAGCATTTTAATAGCTCTTTAAAGTTTGCAAAGCTCTTTACAAAAAAAGCATCTCCTTTCATCCTTGAAACAACTCTGGTAAGTAGATGCTATTATTATTCCCATGTTATAGATGGAGAAACTGAGGCAGACAGAGGCTAAGCATATTGTTCAGTGTCATTGAGCTAGTAAGCATCTAAGATACAATATAAACTTGGGTCTTCCTGACTGTAGGTCTAATGCTCTATCCACTGTGCTATCTAGCTACCTATACAGGCAGACATTTAAAAAGGAAGTATTCCCTTGTAATGTGGAGACATAATAACATGATTTATGTAATAATTCCTATGTGTATTATGTGCTCATGATTGTAAAAGAGGTTTCACACATTTTCTTATTTAAGCCCTGTGACATAGGCAAAGCAAGTATTACTGTCCTTAAGATGAAAGAAATGAGTCCCATAGAGCTTGTTACTTGCTTAAGATCACACTGATAAATAAGGGCTGAGCTGGGACTAGAATCCAGGACTTTTCACTCCTTGTCCAGTGATCTTTCCTACACAGCCCAGTCCTCCAAGATGCTGGGTTTGGAGTTAAAGTATTTGGATTTGAATACTGGCTCTGACATCATCTATATTGTTGGGTAACTCATTTAACTTCTTAGGGCCTCAGTTCTACATCCATAAAATGAGGGGATTATATCATAGAGACTCTGAGTTCCCTTCCAGTTCTCAATCTATGATCCTATGACTCCCAGAAAGGTACTATGAAGAGAAAAGACACAGCTTCAAGACTTTCAAGTCAGGCTGTTGTTGTGCAAAATTTGGAAGCAATTAAAGTTTGTCATGGGGACTCCTCTATCCATCCTTTTTCACTTTTGAAATAATATCCTAACAGAAGACGTCTTCACTTATCTAAATGTAAATTTCCTTAGCTATAAAAGGAAGTGTTTGAACTAGATCAGGGGTTCTTAAACTAAGGTCCATGAATTTAAGAGGAAAAAAATTATAACTATTTTAATGTAATTGGTTTCCTTTGTATTCCTATATATTTTATTTTATGCATTTAAAACCATTATTCTGAGAAAGGGTCTATATGCATTATAAGCCTGCCAAAGGAGTCCATAACACACAGAAAAAGTTATAAACTTTGAACTAGATGATAGCTAATAGCTAGATGGCTCAGTGGATCACTGGACCAGGAATCTGGTTAGCCCTGATTTCAAATCCAGCCTCAGACACTCACTAGCCATGTGACTCTGGGCAAGTCACTTATCCTCAGTTTGCCTTAATCCACTAAAAAAGGAATTGGCCAACCATTCAGGCGTCCTTTCAAAACAAACAAACAAACCCTACAGGGTCACAAAGAGTCAAACAGGATTGAATAACAATAGTGAAAGAGATGTCTCAGGTTTTTTTTATATTTTAAAATTCATTTTAAACTTACATACAGAATAAGAAAAGAAAAAAAAATTGCCATGTACAGAACATGAGAAGATTCAATTTAAAGTAATAAATTTCCATTTCAAGAAAACCTATATAATAAATACTGCACATTGTTTTCAAAGCTGTTCAGCTTTTCTTTACTTCCTTGTAGGTTTTCTTTTGTTTTCTACTGTGCATGTTTTACTTTATTCCCCACCCCCAGGAAGGCTACAATTAAGCATGGTGATATATAGATATAGATTAAAACAGACACATACATACACATATACACTCATACACATTTACATAAGACCGAACTATGCTTGTTTCCACCTTGTCATCTGTTTCTCTGAAGCTGGATAACATCTTCCTTCATATGTTCAAGTCTTTCCATATTTTTCTAAATCAACCAATTCATCATTTCCTACACCACAGCAATATTCCAACCCAATCACATTCTATCTGAGAGATCATCTATGAAAGGTTTTCCCCCCAATTTTCTATATTCCTTGGCTGCATAGGCTTTATTTATGCAAGAAAATTTTAATTTGAAATAATCAAAATTATCCATTTTACACTTCAACAATGCTCTCACCTTGTAATATGGTTTAAGGTCTGATACTACTGAATCTGGTTATTTCACATCTTTTTCCCCTTGTTTCCGTGAAGTTCCTACTCTTCCAAATGAACTGTGTTACTATTCTTTTCTAACTCAGATAATTTTTTAATAATTTAATTAGTTTGGCATTACATAAATTAGATTAGGTAAAATTGTCATGTTTTTTATCATATATCCATAAACAATAAATATTCCAATTATTTAGATTTAACTTTATTTGTTTTGTGTTTATATTCATATAGATCTTGCGTCTGTTTTGGCAGGTATACTCTCAGGTTTTTTATACTGTTCTAAATATTTTAAATGTCCTAAACAACGTTGAATAATATGGCTGACATATAGTGTAGTTTCCCTATTTTTCTCTTTTGATTAAATCTATTTTAGCTTTTCCTTTGAGATCAAGATTACTACCCTTGCTTTTTTTACATAATAAATTCTACTTCTTACCTTTATTTTATGTTTGTATCTCTCATTTTTATAGCCTTTCCTGAAAGCAACGTATTGTTGAATTCAAGTTTTTAATCTATCAGATTCCATTTTGGGGGTAAATTCATCCCAATCACATTCTAAGCTATAATTATTTGTATATTTCCTCCTTCCTATTTTTCCTCACTATCCTTCTCACCCTATTTACCCTATCTCTCCTCACTCCTCTGCTTTACTTCAACCCACTACCTTGTCCTCCTATTCCTTAATCTACCCCTCCTCCAAGAATCGCTCCCTTGACCTCTCCCTCTTGTTTCTTTCTGAATTTAGAAAACTTTTATACACTTCTAGATATGTTATTCCCTCTTTAACTCATTCCTATTAATCTACACACTCTTCTGTACCCCTCCTCTTATTCTGTTCCTTCGCCTTCTCATTTCTTTCTTTCTTTTTTTATTTTTTTGGTTAGGCAGTGAGGTTAAGTGACTTGCCCAGGGTCACACAGCTAGTGTTATGTGTCTGAGGCCAGATTTGAACTCAGGTCCTCCTGAATCCAGGGCTGATGCTCTATCCACTGTGCCTCCTAGCTGCCCTGCCTTCTTATTTCTTTATAAATTTAGAAGACTTATACCCTTCTAAATGTATATGTTGTTCTCTCTTACGCAGATCTACTGTGAGTAGGGTTCCAGCACTACCAGCCCTCTTTCCACATCTATTTCCTCTGTATCAATTCTGTGTCTCATGCCTCATTTTTGTGAGATAATTAGTCTTTATATCTTTTCCTACACCATTTTGCTTTTTAGAATCAAGTCATACTCAGCTGTATCCCAATCTTCCTTTTGAACTACCCAATTACTAATGACAATCTTAGGCATGCAGTTTACATTTCTACATATAAAAAGTAAACAATCTGTCCTTTTGTTTCCCTTGTAATTGGCCTTTGATGTTTACCTTATATTTCTCCTGGATCTTGTATGTCAATTTTTCTATTAAGCTCTGTCAATTCATTGAATATCTTTTTTTTCCCCAGGATTATGCTTAACTTTGCTGGGTATGATATTTCTGTAGGTTTTCATGCTGGCATATCTTTCAGGTGGTGATTAATAGATTTTTTTTCCTATTTCTACTTTCCCCTCTTGTTCTAAAATGTCAGGACAATTTTCTTTAGTTGCTTCTTACATTATTGTATCAATATTCTTTTTTATCATAGCTTTCAGGTACTCTGATCATTCTTATGTTTTCTCTTCTTGATCTGTTCTCCAGATCAGTTGTTTTTCCTATGAGGTGTTCCACGTTCTCTTCCATTTTTCATTCTTTTTATTTTGTTTTATTATTTCTTGGTCTCCTATAACATCATTGGCTTCCCCTTGCCCAATTCTAGTTTTCGAGGAGTTATTTTCTTTCTTAAAATTCTGGATCTCCTTTTCCATTTGGTGGACTTTCTTTCCATAATTTTCTTGATTTTCTTGGATTGCTATTTTTTATAAAAATTTTCCTCAATCTCTCATTTCATTTTTAAAGTCTTTTTAAAGTTGTTCTAAGAATTCTTCTTGGGCAGGTGACCTTTTAATGTTATTCTTTGAGGTAAGAGAGGCTTTTTTTGCTTCAGTATTTTCTGAAAATGAACCCCAGTCTTCTCTATTCACATAGTAACTGTCTATGGTTGGGTTCTTTCTCCTTTTCTTGCTCATTTTTGTTTTGTTTTGTTTTGTTTTTTAGCAGCTATTATTATAATCACCTCTAGTCCTGGGGTATGAGGGTCGGTGCCTCTGGCCTCAGGTCCTTTTACTGGTGCTTTTTGAGCTTTGTCCTGGGCCTGACCTCTGCACTCCTTTCCTGCCCCAAACCACAGCTAGGGCCCCAAGGCACACTATGCTAGAAATGCCTTTGCTCTTTGAGGACCTTCCAGTGACTATAACCTTCAGTTCTCTCCTCTAGCCTGGGACTGAAACTGAGAACTCATCTCTCCTGTAAGTGCCCACAGCCAGCAGCATCCCCACCCCACTGCTGCAGTCACTGGTCGTGAGCTGGTTTTTTTCTCAACCTAGACTGTATCTCGGCAGCACAGCTGGGCCTGGTACTGCCTTCAATCTTCCCCTGCTCAGACGTCAGACTCCCCCATGCTATCTATGAAGTGAGAATTTCTGTGGCTGAGGCTGAGGTTACCTCCCAACCCAGCTGCCCCCAGAGTTTATTGTTTGTTTATCATTTGCTTATTGTTTCCATGGAGATAGACTGGAAGTGTTCACACTTCACGCTTGCTGAACTCCATCCTGGGGTCAGATCTCCAGTAATCCCAGGAGGACCTCTGTTTTGCCCCAACTCTTGTTTATCTTTGCTGCTCTATGTTCACCCTGAGGGGCTGTTTTGTCTTGTTTGTGGAGGAAACCTGGAGAGCTTGGAATTTTCTGACCTATCTCCACTATCTTCTCAGAATCCTCTCCTTTCAGATACAATATTCTATGAATCTGTAATTTTAATTCATATAAGATTTATTTTTATTGTACCTGTCCTATCTATTCCACAGGGTTGTCAAAGGTCAAGTGAAATAATAGATGTGAAAAACCTCTGTCACTCAGAGCTTGTCCATACCATGTTCCCTATGAAAATTTCTTTGCTCTATATTTTGTCCCCTTAGAAACCAGGATATATACTAGGTAATTTGCAAAACTAATTTCCTACTAATGTAGTAATGGAAAAAGGTGGGAAACATCTTCATATTAGCTGGGCTTCTATATAACCTTTTTTGGTTGTCTGATTTTAATTTAGCTACATGATTTTCAGACTGATGAGAAAACTTTTTTTTGAGGGAGGGGGGCTGCAGCAAGCAGAGTCTTTCACACCTACATCTTATGACACCCCATAGGCAGTTGGCTGCCATTTAGTGAAGCTGCTCCTGTTGCCACACATTACCATAGTTTCAATAATCTCATAACTCAATTTCTTATTTTAGTGCTGCTTAGGAAGTAGGGTAGAGTGAGAGGCTGACAGCTTTCAGGAAAGGCCTTCTACTTTACTGAAAAAATTAAGACCTTCTCACATGGCATTCCTTGGATTTAATCAACGTCCTTGATCTCATTCTGCCATTACCTATGGGACTAGCAATACATTTTCTCTAGGCACCCTCAATCTCAATCTCTCTCTTTCTCTCTCTCCCCTCTCCCTTCCTCCCTATCTCTTTCTTTTTTCCTCCTTTCCTCTCTGTGTCAATGCTTGATTAATATAATTGCACAGATTCCAGTTTAAGATTTTCTTCATTTATTGCATATATTATTTTCTGGTTCTGCTTATTTCACTCTTTGTCAATTCATAAGTCTTATTTAGCCATTCTCCAATCCATGTGCCCATGTACATATTTTATTTCTAGTATTTCCTTTTGCTGCCATAAAAAGAGCTATTATGAATATTTTTTATATATAGGACCCATTTTTGACCTCCAGGATATATACCCTACTAGTAGGATCCTTGAGTCAAAGTGTATTGATATTTTACTTTCTTTCTAGCAAAATTCCAAATTGCT